GTTATATATTACTTATATATTACTTATATAACTTATATATTACTTATATAACTCATGTATTACTTATATAAGTTATGTATTACTTATATAACTTATATATTACTTATATAACTTATATATTACTTATATAACTCATGTATTACTTATATAAGTTATGTATTACTTATATAACTTATATATTACTTATATACCTTATATATTACTTACATAAGTTATATATCACTTGTATAACTTATATATTACTTATATAACTCATATATTACTTATATAAGTTATATATCACTTATATTACTTATATAACTTATATATTAGTTATATAACTCATATAACTTATACAATCTATATTATTTACACAACTTATACAAGTTATGTTACTCATATCACTTATATTTTCACTTGCACCGTCACGAGAGAACGACTAAATGACTTAACCAAAACCTATCCAGATTAACGACGAAAATTAATCAAGATCCTAGACTAACCAGACGAGTATCGAACAAGAGCCTAAGAAAACATTATCGATTCATCAAAAGCCTCGAGAGACAACGTCTGTCGAAGCTCGAGACACATTGGAGGGGAGCTCTTAGTATTTCCAGTCATCCATGTGATCGCTTTCATTGTGAACCGGTTTGAGTGTAGCCCCGACCTTGTGCTTTGTGTCAGTTGTCACGTTGTCCACCAACACACGTCTTCTCCTCACCTAAGACCAGCTAACACCGTGTGTTAACACCATCGTCACAGAAATCATCGGACGCGACCCCACGAGGGAGGATCGAGCGGAACGATGCCTACTGATCCTGTTGTTTGTTTTTCTAGACCGGAAGTACTCGCCAGGTGCAGCGATCGAATGGTACTACCAGTACCAGACCCTTTACCTGCGCATGATGGCGAAGAAACAGATGGCGGAGAACGCGGCCACCGATCCGGAGAACTCGGACAAGGACCAAGACGCGGACAGCTGCCAGCCGGAAACCGTCGCGACGGAGATAACGCCCGAGGGGAAGATACGCGAGATCGCCGGGAACCAAGCGATCGTCGGTGCTCGGGATTCGTCCGAGTACTCGTGTCCGCGGTGCGGGAACGCCTATCTGAGGCTCCACTCGCTGAACAGGCATATCAAGTTCGAGTGCGGCGTCGAGCCGCGGTTCGAATGCCCTGTGTGCCATAAAAAGTCGAAGCACAAACACAACCTGATCTTGCATATGAGGACGCATCAGAAGTCCTAAATAGTCGAGATTGATTTTCATTGTTGAAAATATCATTGAAAGATCTATATATATGTCCGCAGGGTGTGGCAAACGTGTCTCGAAACTCGGGAATCGGATTTCTCGGGTCATTTGGAGTAACTTTTTCCTTTGCGAAAATTCGATACGAGGCTTCGTTCGCGAGTTATTAACGAAATAGTCGCGAGCTCGGCCGACGCCCCGCCCTCGCGGCTATTGACGCCGCGTCAGACGGCCGGCGCGACGCGGCATTGGCCGCGTGGGCGGAGCGCCGACCGCGCACGCTCTCCGATTGGAATCACGGTTTTTCGTTAATAACTCGTAAATGAAGCCTCGGAGAAAATTTTTGCGAAGGAAAAAGTTGCTTCAAATCGCCCGAGGAATCCATTGTTTCCGGATTGAGAGACATTTTTGGGACACCCTGTTTATCTCTGGTGGACGAGCGCAATTACAAGTCGGAATTATTAGTCGTGCAGGGAAAAACGCGTAAATATGTTAAACAATGTGATGAAATCACGTTTAACGATTGAACACCGTTCCTCCATTTTTCTTTTCTTATCTAAACAACTTGTATTATTTTTATAAATGAAATTCGACTTACAGTTTTCGCTGGTCACCCGGAGATACACTTTTATACTTTTGTTATTGTTGAACACGGGGAAAGAGTAATGTTGAATTATATCGAGGTCATAATCTAGTTGTTAAGTACGCGTCTCTGTGGTTGTTACGTGAGTCTGTGTTTTTGTGGAACTGTCGTGACCTTGAAATCGTTGAACAAATTCATTGCCTTCGTTTACACGAGATTTTATTTGCGCAACTCTAACGGACAAACAAAAATTTCCTTTCAATTCTCTGGCATTAAGAAATGGATCTTTTTTTAACTTCTGGAACTAATCCGTCGGTCTTGACGGATTTATCGTCTCTTCCTTCTTCTTCCAGTTCTAGTTAAATTTTCAGAATGCCAAAAAATTGACGGTGTCAACGCAAATACCGACGCTCTGGTGTACATAGGCGCATAACGAGTTAAGAACAACGTTGACTCTAGGTACTTAGTTTTTAGAAATTTAGAGTACACTGTACAGTGTTGCCAAATTCAACGATTAAATTTTGCAGGCGTTGCTTCTTTTTCATGGACAGAGGTAATAAGGGATGGTGATTAAATATCGTGCAGGCATCGATAAAGAAATATCTACGATATAGAAATTTATCACTAGCTGGCGGAATATACAGGGTGTCCCGAGAATGTCTCGCAAGCCGGAAATGGGAGATTCCTGGGGTCATTTGAAGCAACTTTTTCCTTGGCGAAAATGCAATCCGCGGCTTCGTTTACGAGCTGTCTCTTATACACATCTAGATGTGTATAAGAGACAGGTTTAATACTGTGATACTCTGTATACGCTGTCTCTTATACACATCTAGATGTGTATAAGAGACAGGTTTAATACTGTGATACTCTGTATACGCTGTCTCTTATACACATCTAGATGTGTATAAGAGACAGGTTTAATACTGTGATACTCTGTATACGCTGTCTCTTATACACATCTAGATGTGTATAAGAGACAGGTTTAATACTGTGATACTCTGTATACGCTGTCTCTTATACACATCTAGATGTGTATAAGAGACAGGTTTAATACTGTGATACTCTGTATACGCTGTCTCTTATACACATCTAGATGTGTATAAGAGACAGGTTTAATACTGTGATACTCTGTATACGCTGTCTCTTATACACATCTAGATGTGTATAAGAGACAGGTTTAATACTGTGATACTCTGTATACGCTGTCTCTTATACACATCTAGATGTGTATAAGAGACAGATCCGGAAATGGGAGATTCCTGGGGTCATTTGAAGCAACTTTTTCCTTGGCGAAAATGCAATCCGCGGCTTCGTTTACGAGTTATTAATGATAAACACTGACCAATCGTCGAGCGAGCGCGGCCGGCGCTCCGCCCCCGCAGCCAATGCCGCGTCGCGCCGGCCGTCTGACGCGACGATAATGGTCGCGAGGGCGGAGCGTCAGCCGAGCTCGCCACTATTTCGTTAATAACTCGTGAACGAAGCCTCGAATCGCATTTTCGCAAAGGAAAAAGTTGCTTCGAATCACCTCGGGAATCAACCTCTCCAAGATCGCGAGACATTCTCGGGACAGCCTGTATACACAGCAAACTTTAATCGTTTAATACTGTGATACTCTGTATACGTGCGTATATACATATATATGTTTATGTATGAAGACACGACGACTCGAACGATTGAAACCGATCTTCTTTTTCTTACGAAGTTGACTTCCAAAGAATCAAAGAATTGGATTGCCGAGAGTGCAATATATTTACATATAGCTCCGAAGATAAGTCAGCAAATGTTATATTTTTATTTCTTGTTAAACAAGCCTAGTTGTTTAGATTCGCAGTCAATGTTCGCCGGTGCTTCCACGCAACGTTCTTTGCACCACGATCGTGCCGTTGACGAATGAATCATTATTATTATTATTATTATTATAATCATATTGTTACGTTGATACTTATTATGTATAGTCTTATCGACGTTTTTTATCGTTCTTAAAGCGAGTTCCCATGGACCGTATACGTGTAAGTTTTGTTATTTCACGCAGAAGCATATTCAGTTTGTGTTCGAAGCCCGATCTCTAATTTAACAGATTGTTACTTATATTATTTTTACGTGTTCCATTGAACTTCTATATTTTTTTGCGCGCGCGCGCCGTAAAATACACGCATAGATCTCGAGAGTTGACGAGAGAGTTGAGCAAAATTTCTGAGAAAAATCCGGGACAACGATAAAATATCTCTTGGAAACAAGTAAAAAAATACGAGGAAAATTTAAGGTTAAATTAATTCGGCAAATGAATTTCGCTCACTCGTTTCGCAACTCGTTTACTTTTTTGTTACCGTACATAGACTGACTCACTGCCATTGTTATTTCTCGTTTAACGACCGCGATCGTCTATTTTACATTCGGGGACGCGTCAACGAATAATTCCACGTGAATCGAATCGAATCGAATCGATCGATTTCCCTACCATTTATCGTACGCTTAGTCTCACAACGGTGTCGCGAAAGCTGTGATGATTTACAATAATATGGCTGAGCTCGAAGAGACTTATAAACACGTAACACGTATATCGTGAATAAGCTTCCCTCCCCCACCCCTCCCCTCTACCCTCGAACGCATTATAGAGAATCTAGCGCCAGTAAAACAGAGTCCGAGAGAAATATATAAATAAAATATTCATTTACGTTTACAGAGAAAATCCTACGATGCGTATATTATTATACATGTATAGATTGTAACGAGTATAAGGAAGAAGAAAGAAAGAAAAAAAAAGAACATACGCGATTGTAAGACATTTAAAATAAATATTTTCTATTTTACAAAAACAAACACACAGTATTCAGCATGGCTCGACCTCTTCTCTCGTTCGGACCGTCAACTCGCTCGGCCTGCGACAACCGACTGTTATGTTCAACAAATTTCTGTACCCTAAATTCGTTCACCTATACAGGGTGTTCCGAAATCGTGGTACTTCCGGGAAACGACGGGTTCCTGAGGTGATTCGAAGCAACTTTCTCCTTTGCAAAATTTTTCTCCGAGGCTCCGTTCACGAGTTATCAACGAAAAAGTGGCGAGCTCGGCTGACGCCCCGCCCTCGCGGCCATTGTCGCCGCGTCAGACGGCCGGCGCGACGCATCATTGGTCGCGTGGGCGGAGCGCCGGTCGCGCACGCTCTCCGTTTGGGATCACGGTTTTTCGTGAATAACTCGTAAACAAAGCCTCGGAGAACATTTTTGCAAAGGAGAAAGTTGCTTGAAATCGCCTCGGGAACCCCTCGGTTCCCGCTGGTACAAAAATTTCGGGAAACCCTCTATAATATTACGTAGCGCCTTCAGTAAATACATCTGTTACTCCATGAAATGACCACAAACGTAGAGAACATCGCTTATTATCGTAGAGATTACGTTAGCGGCTGCATGTTAGGTACGATCCGCGACGAAAGTTCGAAGATAAATCGACCGGGATCCGCTGCAACTTGTGAAACTGTGTTTTTCCCCGTTTCTTTTCGTTTTAGCTGGAATTAGAAGCATCCGAAACGAATTTTCTTTCACGACAGCATGACTCGATATGACGGGGACGCCTCCTCGTACGCCTTACTTTTCGTTTTCAATGTTACGTTGCCGTGATACACGCTTTCCCCCCTCCGCTCCCCCCATGCTCCACGACGGAAAACAATCGGAACGCGGTTTTATTGATAGACCGATGTGATGTTACAGTTTGGAAGATGCTGAAGGACTTGGAAGACGGGCCGCCGTTTCTCTGCCCGAAATGCGGCCGCACCTACTCGCACAAGTGCAACCTGACCAGGCATCTGCGGCTCGAATGCGGCGTCGGACCGAGATTTCAATGCGCCTGGTGCAAGAAACGGTTCAAACACCGGCACCACCTGCGGGACCATCAGAGGATTCATCTTTACACGAACTGCGCGTTCGAGCTGCGAAACTGAAACTTTCTCGCCCGGGTTGTCCGTTTGTTTCCTCCCGTTCAGTTTTGACTTTTTTCGTTCGCGCGGGTCAACTATATTTATTCGCGTATTTATTTATTTGTCCGCAATGTTCGCCCGCCCGCAACGCGAGACAAAAGTCTGCGTCGAGCTAGATAGAAAAGATATTATATTTTTGTTGCTCTCGATATATTTTACGTAATATATTTAACGTTCTCACGGCGGAACGAGAATCTGTCCGACTGTACATACACCGCGGAATTGTGAGTAAATGTTCGTGAATACTCGATAAGTTGTCTTTTGTATCGTTGCACGTACTTACTTCGCTGTTTTGCGACTCGTAGCCGTGGTTAGAGAAGGGTTTGAAACGACATGGAAGGACCGTTCGGGTCGATGCTACCATAAGTTTATTGTAACGAACGTTGTATTCAGTGTGTACAGACTGTTTTATATTTTACAGTATATATATATACAAGGAAGCTGAGAGTTTTCTGCAGGCCATCACAAAAGTGCCTCGAAATCTGCAAACAGTGGTTCCCGAGGTCATTTGAAGCAACTTTTTCCTTTACAAAAATTTTCTCCGCGGCTTCGTTTACGAGTTATTAGCGAAAAACGTGGGCCAGTCGGAGAGCGAGCGCGG